TGTTTGCACTGCTGATACATAAATGTGCCTTTTCATGTCTGCTGTCAGAGGGTTGAACCACATTTACATCCACAGTGCAAGATATTAACTAGATACTCGAAACTAGGCCACTATGTACAGTTCTCAACATTAATTCAAATTAAGTAATACAACTGGGAGTAAAGAGAGAACTGCAAAACAGCATAGGAAAAGGGTAAAAAAAGGAAAAGAAGTACCTGGGGAAGAACCTACATATCATAGCTAGATAGGCCATAGGATTTAGCTGTGGAGCCAGATAATTTCAGCTTCAAATTTACGTTTCATAGAAACAAGCTTCACCTTTAATATAATTTTTTTTTTTTTTTTTTTTTTTTTTTTTTTACATTTTGAGTGCTTTCACTATCAATGTGAAAGTAAACTGAAGTTAGGAATTTGTGGCTTCCAGTAATAGTAATAGAAATGGTGTTTCACATCTCAGAACTCAGTTTGAAGATCATGCTTGAAACCAAGCCCAGAAAGCTGTGTAAAGTTAGGTCAGAGATGAGCGTAGGCTGTGAAGTTTCCTGAAGGATAAACATATGATGTGACAGATGTGGGAACAAAGGAGTTGTACATTGTAGGACATAAGTAATCAGTTTTTATAGCTAAATATTTATCTATGGGTAATGCAATCTGCAGGCCTGCTGCAAAGCATCATGAGATTCGGCGTGGTGTAGACTGCTGTGTTATCCCTGGCACACATACAGTGGGATTACATATCAAGTACATATGGAGGGTGAATCCTGATGGTAGGACAGATATAAGCAGCTCCTGATGAGTGCAGAGCTCAGACAAAACGTTAGTGTTTCTGGTGCACTGTGGGAGTGATGTAAGCAGGCAGAAGTAACACTGTCTGGATAGGAAACTAACTCTTGACTTCCTGTTTTCAAATGTCTCTGTTCTGCTGAACTTGACACTCTGTAAGAATATTTCTCACTACCAGTCCCCCCTCATCCATATGTCAACATAAGGAGGGGTTTTCTGTTAATAGTACCATCAGCAATGGAAGGAGCAATATATAGAGATCACATCCAACAGTGGCAGCAAAATCAGTGGTTCTTAGCTTAGAAATCTGTTCAGGCAAGTAGGAGTTGGGTTAGTAGAATTCTCATTTTCAGCAGAAAAAGGTTACTGATTAACTGTGAAGGGCAGTGAAAATGATGGAGCAGGAAAAAAAGATCAAAACTTTCCAAAAAGAAGTGCATCTACGAGCTAGCACCAGCTAGTCATCCACTTTCCACATGTCCTGAAGCTACCAAAAGTTCTCAGGGCATAGCACTCACAATTTTCCAAGAAAGGAAGGTTAGGGCACAGAGACACCTACATTCTATGCCAATGTCCCTTCAGTTAATTCAGAGCAATCCTTAAATTTTTAGCATTGGAAACATCTAGTGTGAGTGGTGTGTACTAATCACCATCACAACCATTTAGCATTTCAAAGCATCCTCATGCCAGATTCATTACAAAAATTTTAATGTAATACAATATTCAAAGAAGCATTAACAGTATAAAATGCTAAAGATGTAGTATACTTGACTTCTATTGCAGTGTACTTGACTTCTATCGCTTTTTCTCATGTTTGAAAATATATGTATACATCAAGCACACATGCATGTTGAAAGTATATTTATTAGTAGTACACTGAGTATATAATTATAGCAAATTAAATAGAGTACGCTGAGAATTAAATTTACGGGACAAAAGATACTATTACAGTAATTACTATACTGAGTTACTTTTGTATATGACATCAAAACACCTTAAAATGTGACATTCAAGCACATAAAACCTTTGAGTCTGATGTAGTACTTATGTTTCCAGTGATTTTGGTGACTTCTGAAATTCACAGTAGCATTTTAGCTACTTCTGAAGAAGGGTGAAGGATGGAGACATTGTGTCCACTTTAAGACACCACAGTGAACTGGCTGAAGAGTTAGAAATAGGGCTGACAAAATAATGCAGAATTTTGACTTCAGCCAAGTGGAAAATGTTTTTTCAGCCTCTACAGGAGTTCTTTTTCCCTTGAGATCTCAATATTTAAAAACTATCTAGTTTTCAAAAGTGAAAACCAGACAAGAATTGAAATAAGTTTTTAAATTCATCCACAGTTATAATTAGTTCCTCAAGCTACTCTTTCCTGCTATGATCCAGAACTCCTGGTCAGACTACCATTCCATTTTGGGGTAACACCAGCAGAGCCCTATGACTCTGTTGCCTGCCCTACTGAAACACAGGGTCATACAGACCGTACAGTAGGCACAGACTAACATTAAATTGCACCTTCTCCCTCTCCATCATTTTTCTTCCACTACAGCATGCAGTCACATTGGACACCAGAGCCACCTCCTCTGTCTTTAACTATTCCCACATCTCTGACTTTCCTGAAGGATTCACTAACCACCAAGCAGTAGGTTGCTCTTCAGACAGTCAAGTCGTAAGTTAAAATTGAACCACTGGGGTTCTGCCCTCCAAGAGGTTCTTTTGAAAGAGCAATATTGCAACCCTTCCTCTAAACAAATATTTATAATTTAAAGTCTGGCAGTAGACACAGAAACACCCCATTTCCTGAAATTAAAAGGAGCGTTTTATGTGAAATGAAACCAGGGAGAAGGATAGGAAGCAAAATGACATTTAACAGGAATGTTCAGTTTAGAACAATTACTTCATCACTAATAACATCTATCTCCTGAAATTTGGAAGAAAGGTTTAATTACTTGACTGAAGGCTTCTTATCTTAGCTACTAAACTAATAAACATCTACTTTTTAAGTATTATAACTTTCAAACTTCTCTAGTCAATCTCCCAGCATAGACAAAACAAAACTTTCTAACAACACAAGCACAAATTTCCAAACCCTAGTATTTTTAAGAAATTTTTGTAAGGTCAGCTTTGAAATCATGATGGAAATAACCAGAGGAACACCTGTTTACTACTATTAACACACACACCTTATTATCAACTAGGTTTTATTTGCTTTTAATATTCATGAAGAGAATGTTCTCTCCAATTTGATAAATCCAAAGTACAAAATTCTATCAGGTTTTTGGGAATGCAGCAGAATTTAGAGTATGTTCTGTTAGATTCCTACAAAGGTACTAACAAGGAAGGCAAAACCCCTCTATATATGACTACTTTAAAGAAACTATTGTGACAATGAACTTCATCACAGTGTAGGCTCCCCTGCCCTGGAACAAACAATAGTGCATTGCATTAATACATCTACTTTATACTTTTAACTGCTGTTTTCAAAGGTGCATAAACTCTCTAAAGACAAAATTATGCAGAAATAAACATTCAATTACTCAAAGCATGGAAATGAAATTACCCTATATTTACTCTGAAACAGTTGATAACAGCATCTGGTGCTTAAGTTTAACTAAATGGTGCCTGGAGGCCTTGGAAAAGCTCTGAAGTAACGTAACTATACTAAACACATTCATATGGCCCCGCTTCAGGCCTGCAGAGAGGCCTGAAGCAGCACTAGCCAGACAGTCATTACAAGAAAACAAACCCATGTCTTGAACAGCTGTCACAGTAGGTCTGATTATAGGCTTCACAAACTACAAAATTACCCAGAAAATGTGGGCGTTCCCACCCAGCTTCAGCAACTGGAATAACTGCTAGAAAATGCAGCCCGTTAAAAACACACAAATAAGATAGCTAGAGCTTAAAGCTGTAGGGCTGATGCACCTGGACTTTTATAGCTACAGACCCTGTACTTTTTTCTTTTGTTATGGTATTTTATTTTATATAAAGCTGTTCTGAACCACTTAAAATGATCTAGCATTTCATATCACTCTGTTTCACTGTCTGATTCCACCTAGATTCCTTCCTACTACGGGCATTCTTATCCAGACTTCTCCATTACTGGACTTCATTCCTAGAGTACAGCCTTACAATTATCTTTGTCTAACAATACCACAACACAAATCTTAGAACTACAAATCTTTCATACTCATACTCAAAGGCATTCAAAGCAAACTCTGACAACTAAATCTAAGCACTACACAGTTTTTATGGGTCTCAAATTATTAATTTTCAATTTAAGTTTCATAATTTTTAGCCTCACTGTTTTCAGTTGATTCCTAGAAAACCGCTGTGTGCAAGTTGAACGCCACTAAAAAAAAAAAATCTGTGTAAAAACATGCTTAAGTTAAAATACCCACTGTTATAGTGAAAGATTGCCCAGGCACAATGATTTTCAGTTTTAACATTAAATTTATTTGTACATTAAGAAAACATATAAGGAAACAGAAAAAAATGTGAGCAATTACAGAATCATTAGATGAACTATGATGTAAATAATAAATAAATGCCTAACATACACCTGGTTTCATATCCTAGCATTTCCTGTTCTTTAGGAGATAAACTCTTGAACTTTGCAATAAAACGGAGAAAAAGACTACTGAACCTTTTAATACTGGATCTACTCATTAGTTTCCGTTATCCTTTTAAAACATAGTCATTAAAACATCAAATTATCAAAGATGTATTCCTTTCCAATTCCCCTACATGGGAATATAGAATATATTACTGAAACATTTTTAAAAAATTATGATTATTTTGAGCCATTAAAAAGACAGCAAAGCAAATGTGGCTGTACAGAATTGGAGACCTCTGAGGGGAACATGGGAGAATTGAACCATCCGGCCCAGCCTGAGCATGAGCCAGCACGGCCGAAGGAGGGGAACTGGCGCCACCCTCTGCCATGAAGCTGGAAATGTTCATTTTTCAGCTATGCTAAAAAGTTGCACTATTCTTACCCGACCTATCATCCCCAGCTTTCTACAGAGATGTTTACCTCCAGCCAGCCCACCATGCTCGTCTCTGGATTACCCCACGTTCCAGTAAGATCCGTTCTAACACGTCATCCCTGATACTTAAACCAATCATTCACATCCACAAAATTTATATGCTCATTTCAAAATCCTACCCCCAACTCTCCTTATGCATAATACCACACACATCTCGACAATACTTACCCTACTATAGCCCTCCAACGACTGCCCTTGCTAAGACAATATTACTTCATTAGTTTGCTGCCCTTCATGGTGTTACACAAGCAGTTGTGAGCCTTATTCCTGCATTTGGAACATATTTTTCACTGCATATTATTAAACAGGTACCACTCTTCAGATCTATGCTGTATGTAGGACCCTTACAGACAACGGTCATAAGAACAAAGACATTCAAAAAACAGCTTTTGAACATACCCACAAAAGAACAGATTGTTCATTTTGTAAACACTTTTCCCTTGAGAGGTCACTTGCAAGAAATAAATCTTCCTTTTAGCTTTTCTAAATTTTTGTATGTCATTGTGACTCTAAAAATCACCTTTAAAAAACAGACTCACTTAATCCCCCTCTAATTTATCGTACTTATTAATTAAATTAATATTAATTAAATAATTTTACTTACAAGTCTGTGACTTGTGTTACTGCAAATATCTTTCTTCCTTTAGAACTGATCAGAAGACAGTATCTTATGTTTCTCATCACTACACAAAATTAAGCTGCAGTTTATTTGCCCAAGTCAGACTTAGAAACAGAATTCCATGTATGTTATAAAATTTAATATGAGAAACTTACCTCCATTAGTACCTAGAGCCGAGGTTTCCAGCTTAGGACCCTTGTCAGGCTGCAGCATAACTCTCTTCTTGCATGGTCAACTTTCATTCTCATTGAAAAAAGGCACTATACATAAAATAGTGTCTGTCTGAAGTTGTACTGAGGTATTGCTGTCACACACATGCACAGAGGGAAGGGAAGTGCTCCTGGATCTCACAAATTACATAAGCTTACATGAATTGAGGTTAACAATTTTACTGTTTGTCAAATAGTCAGTGGTACTCCATTTATGTACTATGAGATCATTACACAGGGTGAGCAGCCACCTGTGACTGAAAGGTTGTAGATAGCACAAACACATCACAAAAAGATTAGGATTTCTGCAAGAAACAGATTCATAGAGGTATTACACAATAAGACAAACACATAATGGGCCAACAGGACTGCACAAGTGCCTACAGAAACACAAGACACTGCAAAGCATGGATGGCTTCGGGTGCCGCCTGACTAGCCATTAGGAACAGTCTCCTTTCTATATTGCTCTCAGGTTCACTTTTGTACCACCACGACAGCTGCCAAGTTTGCATGTTAATTCTGCTTTAAAAAGACAAAAATGTTTTCTGTCAATGGGGCAGGTTTCCCGTTTCCCCGGGCGGTGAGGGCTCGCTGCCGTGTGTGACACTCTCCCCGTGAGGAGCCCCGGGCTGACGGCAGCGCTGCACGGGCCCGTCCCGCCGGGCGGGCAGCCCGCTCGGAGCCCACGGGCGCTGTCCCGGCTGTCCTGCTTGGAGCCCACGGGCGCTGTCCCGGCTGTCCTGCTTCTGCCCTGCCCCGGCAGCTCGCCCGTCCTGCTGCTGAGGCAAGGCGCTGGGTGGTCCCACGGGGACCCCCAGACCAGCCCGCTTATCCCTCACCCCAGCCACCTGCGAGGGGGAAAGCCTTCCTCAAGTGATGAAACGGGCGGTCTCTCTCAGGGTCCTACCTCACCTCACACGGCAGCGCGGGGAGAGCTCAAGTTTCCCGAGTGCAGGCGCTTCCCTGATTGCCATCTGCAATTTCCACAGGAGCTTCCAGGAGAAACGTGCCAGTCAGCACTAACACTTCATCCATCTATTCCTCCATTGAGCTGCTGGAGGTGCCATGAGGGCTGAGCTGGCAGCTCTGACCTTACCAGCTCCCCCAGGCAACTCAGCAACTGGTCACTTTGTACATCTTAACCACTTTTCAATAGCATATCTATTAAAAGTAGTACGCAATAGAATAATAAACTACTTTCTTAAAGAAAACGCTTGAATAGAGGATTAGAAAAATCCTATTTTTATAAAGAAGGCAATGAAATGGGGCAGTTGCAAAATACATTCAATATACCACTCATTCGTGATGTGAGATTCTGCTTTTACGAAGCAGAGTTGAAAAGTGAAAATGCCTTCTCTATAGAGAAAGGAATTTTGCATGGAAAGTTAATCGCTGTGTATCACTTCAGCAGCTGTAAATCAGTTAATCAGGACTGTCCTCTTGGATAATTTGCAATACAATGACTTAAAATTATATAATCACTTATAGGAGAAGATACACACAGACCTCTTCTAGCCCAAATCCTCCTAAAACCCAGTTGAGACAACTTACATTGACACCAACCCAAGAATCTGAGTATAGGGCTCAAGTTTATGCAGTTTTTTAAAAAGTTGACAAATTTCTTGTTATTAATATTTGACCTGAGGAGTTAATGATCTCTCCCGTGTAAAATGCAAAATTGCTACAAGTTAACAAGCAACATCAGCTCTAAAGTTTCACTTATTTTTTCAAACAACCACATGAAAAGGTTAACTCTGAATTAAAGAATTTTATTTTGTGCATTTCAGAAATGAATAATGACATTTTCTAAAATCAGTTGTTGCTGTGATAGACATACATGTAAAACATGTTTCCATTTTACATTACAACATGCAGTGTGAGAATGATACATTAGTTTACTTGAATTCTCAAGTTAATCATCCTTGAATAAATCAAGAGCTATAAACTGCGTGAACATTGGTAACAGTTAAAATTATTTCAATTGGGAGGGAAAAAAACACATGACGATACAGATCCAGAAGCACTAACTGGAACACAATGGATGCACAGTTCTTACCAAGTTCTTTAGTTTACTTCTAAAAGATATTTTACCAATTATATCTTTGCATTACTAAAAGTTTTTGAGTGCAAAATATAAATGATAATAATAAATGAAAATACATCTTAGGATCAGTCAACATAAGTCAGCTATTTTTAGGGGATAATGACAATATAGATGCATATCAGCTCATGTTTTGTGTTAGATTTAACATTGTTTTCTTCCCTCTTCATTTTTAAACTGTCTGGCTTGACAAAGTGTTGAGTAGCTTTTTGAGGAAAAAAAAAAAAGAAAAAACCCAAACCAATAAACCACCTCCCTCTAAAGTTAATAACCTTAAATCTTACTTTTGTTGCTACTTAACAGCAAAGTCAACCGATACATATTTTTTCCCTATTTAAAATATTTGTCACTAAAACTATGCTCAACTAATCAGTGCAGAAGCAACATTATAAATGGGCAAGTTTAGAAGTTCCGTAACATGTCTTTTTGTGTACACAGCGGTGATTTATCCTTAAAATTTTACTACTAAATTAGAAAAAAATCCCTAGCAGTGACAAATATGCAGTCTCTATCAGCAGTGCAGTTTGAAAAAAAGTGGAAAGTAATCTGTACATAACATAGGAAGGTTTTGATGAAAAATTTCTCATGTTTTTTTTTCCAAACACTTAAAGAGTGTTATTGCCAATGTATCTAATTTTGATACCTGGTGGAAATCTTTTTCAACAGTCAAAGCTCTTAAGCTGCACTTACAATTTTAGAATGTTTTCATGAAGTAAGAACAGTTTTTTCTGCCATCTTGTTCCTGCTTTCTAAGTCAAAGGAGCTATAAAACATACCTTGAAACAATAAACAGGAAATAAATATCTAGGAGAACAGTAAAAAGGTAGTGATACAGCAGGACACAAACCTTAATATCACTATCAAGTATTTTGGAAAGTTCAGTACAGTATGAAAAATACTTTATATGCCTCTTGCACATTAAAAAAATAATCTGTAGTTGACATTTCAGTAACATTTTTGATCAAATGACATTTCTTATGCATTGTGTTGAGAAAATAAAAATTTCCCAACCCTTGTACGGCAGCAGCTCCGAAGTTCAGGTATAATATAGACCTTTCCTATTCATAACTTCTAAGGACTGAACACTTCAGCAAGGGAGTTCAAACGCTTACTAATCTTTCAAATAAATAGCGTGAATATAGCCACTTCTTACAATTCATCTCTCCTCAGCCTGCTAACTTGCTCTCACATGTATCCCTGTGTAATACATCTCCCTGAACAAGACGGCACATGGGCACTGTACTTTATACAAGATACAGAAACATTAAAATACAGATATGATAAAATCTTGATCTACATGTTTAGTGCATTATAATTACATCCTGTATTTATTTTTTTCAGCATTTGTTGTTTAACATTAAGAAATGCAATAGTGCTTTTGCTTTCCTGTCTGTGATGTGGGGAGTGTTTTCAACCTCACTCTCTGCCTGTTCATTGCATTAAGATGGAAAAATTGTATGAATAGAGTTGAGAATGACCAACTGCAGCTTCTGTTAACCACCCTTCAGTCTGGGAATACTGAACTGAATTTAATAAGGCATGTAGGCATTCAAATACGAAAAAACGTGTTTTGCTTCATGGTCACTGAATTTATTCCCAAAGGACACCACATAGAGGTAGCATGCTTATTGTTATTGGTGTAATTTCAAAAGGCCCAGAAACCTCATATTCTCCTTTCTGATGGTAGGCCAGTATCTCTTTCCATTGATATTAAGTGTTTCCACCTGCTTCAACAGAACTTTCTCAAGAATGAAGGGCTGAGGTGACCATATCTCTTCAATAAATTCATTTAATAAAGCAGTGAAGCACATTGACTTATCTTTGGCTTCCCCTAGCATATAGGCTGTGTGCATTGTAGGCCCATTTCTTATGAATTACTCACGGTGAAAACCAGTTTTAAATGAAGAAATAGGTTTGCTACATGGCCCACAGTATTTAAATAAATCTAAAGATGGATTAACATAGAACATTATCTTATTATTGCTTGAATTAACTCTCAAAGTAAAGTCCTCAAAATTTTATATATAACTTCAGAGGTTGGTTTATTACAGTACTCATACACTTTATTTCTGTGGTTGCTTAGTGAAGTGCTCAATTGAACACACACACAAAAAATCCCCATCTTACAGTTCAATGGAGAGACAACATATTATGCTTTCATTAATGTATGGTGCTAGAGCACAAAGCATACCAAACTCAGAAAGCTAGAGGTTATTCTACTCCCCTTTAAGCATGCATTTGCAAAACATCCAT